GCCCTCTTTTGTTCAAGTCCTTGCACAACATTATTTACTATTTTTCTATGTATTCTGTACCTTTAACTGTTTACAGCTTAAATTCCTTTCTTGTGCACAATCATCAGACATCATAATTACAGTGGTGCCCCGCAAGACGAACGCCTCGCAAGACGGAAAACCCGCTAGACGAAAGGGTTTTCCGTTTTGGAGGCGCTTCGCAAAACGAATTTCCCTATGGGCTTCCTTTGACGAAAGCCCATAGGGAAATCTCCGGGACAGCAGGGAAGCACAGCGCGTCTTCCCCACTGTCCTCGGACCTCCTCCGAAGCCTGGCGGCGGGGCGGGGACACCTCCTCCCGCCGCCCAGCTTCGGAAGGCTGCTCCGAAGCCGGGCGGCAGGGCGGGAACACCTCCTCCCGCCGCCCGGCTTCGGAAGTATGCTCCGAAGCCGGGCGGTGGGGCGGGAACACCTGCTCCCACCGCCCGGCTGCGGAAGGCTGCTCTGAAGCCGGGCAGCGGGGGGACGACACCTCCTCCCACCGCCCGGCTTCGGAAGTATGCTCCGAAGCCGGGCGGTGGGGCGGGGACACCGCCTCCCGCCGCCCGGCTTCGGAAGGATGCTCCGAAGCCGGGCGGTGGGGCGGGGAACACCTCCTCCCGCCGCCCGGCTTCGGAAGGCTGCTCCGAAGCCTGGCGGGGGGGGCGGAGAGGTTTTTTAAAAACCCCGGGACAGCGGGGGGACTTCTCCGCTGTCCGGGGCGATTTTAAAATGCTGCCGGGCGGCAGCGCTGCCGCCCGGCAGCATTTAAAAAAACCCGGGACAGCGGGTTTAAAATCGCCCCGGGCGGCGCGTTTCTCCGCTGTCCCGGAGGGCTTTTGAAGGCAGGCGGGGGGAGCAAAAACTTTCGCCCCCCGCCCGCCTTCAGAAGAGGTCCTGGACCTCTTCTGAAGGCGGGCGGGGGGCGAAAGTCTTTGCTCCCCCCTGCCTGCCTTCCCAGGGGCTTTTAAATCGCCCCGGACAGCGGAGAAGCCCTCCGCTGTCCCGGGGTTTTTTAAAATGCTGGGGGTGGGAAGAAAAGCCCTTGTCCCCCCCCCAGCCTTCAGAAGAGGTCGGGGGACAGACTGTCCCCGGACCTGGTCTGAAGTCGGTTTCCATAGGAACGCGTTAATTGATTTTCAATGCATTCCTATGGGAAACCGTGCTTCGCAAGACGAAAAACTCGCAAGAAGAAAAAACTTGCGGAACGAATTAATTTCGTCTTGCGAGGCACCACTGTATGTCAGGTGACTGACACCTGTCAAAGTTGGCCCATGAGGATGGGAGAGATAGGTCAACGAGGCTTGCTCAGTCCTGTGCACAGCATTTCCCAAACACCTGACAATCAGATGATTGTCAGACGTTTGAGAAGTGCTGCGCACAAGGATGATTAAGCTTTGCAAGCCCTGCACTAGGTTTTTGGGAAGTGTTGAACACAGGCTTGCAAAGTGACTTGTGCAGCGTTTCCCCAATCAGCTGGTTGTCGGGCATTTAGAAAGTGTTGCACAAAGGGCTTTGCAAGGTCTGTGCTAAGTGGTTTCCAAGCACATGGCTTGCAAAGTTATTTGCACAGTATCTGACAATCAGCTGATTGTCTGATACTTCAGAAGTGCTGCACAAGAGGCTTTACATACAAAACCAACAAGCAGTGCCTATAAAGCCCTTTCAGCCCAGACTCATGTCATTATGGCATCAGGTATAGGACAGGTGGGTACGGGTTACCTGAAACAGCCTTGCAGGCCAAATGGGGAGGCCTTGTGGGCCAAATTTAGCCCTTAGGTCAGAGATTTTGCACCCCAGCAATACACAACAAACCAGTATTTTTTCTTTGACCATATGCAGTTTGTTTTGCAATGATTATTCAAATACTGTTAACCATGCAAGACAGAAAACTACTCAGAAATACTGTGCATCAAATTCATGCCTGTTGGGAAATACCCATTATTCACAACTCTGGCAAACTTTTTTCCAACACAATTTTGGAAAAAATAAGCTGAAAATAATCTGTAATAAGAATAGGGCATCTATCCAATAAAGTTAAGCACCTTCAAGTTCAATTTATTTAAATACAAGAAGTTTAACTCTGGCTCACTGAAGTCAATGAGACATATGCTTAACTTTGGCTAGTTCGTGCCTGTGGTAACTTTATCAAATTTAACTATCTGCAGCATATCAGAAAGGCAAATTGCTACTATCAGCTTTGCTAATATTTATTTTCTAAATCAACTAAATAAATTACACTCTTATATTATGCAATTTGAGACTTGCTTTCAAACACAACCACAGAATAGGGATAACACACATGTATTTGCAGGTAACAGGTTATTCATTTGAAGTCTTCTCAATTCTATTTCATTTAAAATATGTAAGCAAAAAAATCAACATGAGCTATTTGGCTACTTCAGAGATTCTGGATACTACAGATTATTAACAAAAACTGGAGAATGGGGGAGACCTAATGGCAAACTTCATTATAAACCAGCTACTTAACTGAATACTAGCATATAAGTAAAGAGCACCTCAGACTTCAATCCACAGGCAAAAAGGAAGAGCTGGATGGATATAAAGGAACCATGAACAGGTTTCCCATTCCTAACATCCCATGCACTGCCAGTACGCACATAGGTATGGGGAGAAACAGAATTCTATTAAATCTATCAGGTTCTAACATGCATGGGTGCTATCCATGGTGCAAATGGATCATTTGCAAAATGTTTTTGAACTGAAGAATGCTCAGGTGCTTGTTTGTTTGTTTTGTTTGTTACTTTCAACACTTTCCCCAGCATATCTTAAATAAAACCACAAGACATCTATACTAACTCCTGGTGTATGGCATTTATACCTCACACAGGAAAGCATTTAAATGACCACAGAAAATATATTGGAGGAAAGGCACCTTCCCCAATTAAGTGGGTACCAATTAAGATTTCAGGATAAAAGTTAGACTCGAGACAAGGTTTCACCTGTGCCAATGAAGCTGCCATCTAGCTGCTCTTAAATGGGCATGGATTATGGTACTTTGTCCTACAGTAAGGACTATAAGACTAACAAATATTAAATATTATTTAATGCACCATTTAGGCACCTAAAATGATAGGAGTATTTAACAGGATCTTTACCATCTAAGGGAAGTAACTTCGAATAATCTGTTTTTCAGGATGATACTTTATAATGCAGTTTATTTTACTGATAAGTTTACACATAAGACACACAAAAATATTTTTTTTAAAGGAAGCCACCTGTAATTTACCTAAACCCCAGCCATGGGGAAAGAGGACTACAAGTTCTATTACAATCATTGCTTATAAACAGCACTTCCTAAATCTCTAGAAAAAGAAAGAAACTCATAAGCTTTAAAGCTTGCATAGACTGGCAAGTGAGTGCTAATAGCACAATCCTAAAGTTCTTTTTCAACATCAATAAAATAGTCCATTTTCTAGGGGTAAAGAGCAGAAATATATCCCAACACAATATAGGACTTTACTGCATCCTATCATCCCCACAAATGACAGATGTATCTACAATAACCCCCCAAAAGACACATGTTTATGTTTGGGTTAGCCATGCCCCAAGATGAATGGCACTGCCTGCAAACCTAAAAAAATTAATTTTTCCCTCAAGAAAGAAGACACACAATACTGTACATTCATTACTTGATTAACATTATGTCTCAAATGCAGCAGCAGCAACTCTTTTTTGTCAAAAGATATGGACATTTTTAAACTACTACATGCACCATAAACAACACAAGTGTTGTGTTTTGTGTGTATTACAAGGACACACAAATTCAGGGCTACTTCCCGGATTTTTATTAAAGGGATACTCCTGTAAGCAGCTTTTCAGGATAATCCTTTCAGTTTCATTATTTTATTTACAGCTGTAACTAAACTGTGAATTCTTACGAGTGAACGCCACAATATGGCAAGAAATTCTGCCTCACATTCTAGGGCAAAAGTGCACACACACACACATAGCCCCTCTCCCTCTATAAAACCTAATGTGCCTGGGTCCTCCAAGGCAACACACTCCTGTGTATTCCTCACATTGCTTTTCACCTGCCACAGTATTCCACCCTCCCTGAAAAAAACCACATCCTTATCTAAATGATGTTTACCAAAACTGTGTTCCATAGGATTTACAGTACTTTCTTATGTATGTGCATGCAGCTGGAGTCTGACCCTGACGATCAATAACACACAACTTCACTGTTAAAGAACATCAGCGCAGGCAATCATGACCCACAATTAGAATGGACGTTGTGGTGGCTTTCACAGAACCAAACAAAAAGGTGGGTGGGGTCTAACTCTGTTTGGGGGCCTTAGATCCCCTCCCTATTCCCCCCCCCCCAAGATAAGAAGAGTGCCTCTCTGAGGCCCGCAGCTGGAGGAAACTACACCACAGGCAGCTGCTTCGGGCACAGAGCCTTATCATATACAGTGTTGTCGCACTTGCGCCCTACTTCCCACGCCACCTCCGGGATGAGGGCACCGGTCTTGGGCGTGTCAAAAGGTGCGCTTTTGAGAGCAATGCATGCGCCCTCCTGGCTTTGCAGCCGATCCTGCTCAAGGGGGCAGCTACGGCCAACGCTACCAGGTGTGCAGGTGTGGCCAAGCGCTGCTGGCATCCGCATCTGGCCGTAGTAGCACCTCTTCCCCCAGAGTAGCATGCGGGGTTCTTACATCAGAAAAACACAAGGGAGGGGAAGAAAGAGGGGGGGCACGTCTGCAGCACTTATCGCAACTTACGGGTTCAGCAACTCCGTGGAGATTCCCACCCACACCCACCCTCGGTTTACCAACAGCTGGCGTTGAACGCAGCTGGTCTTGCAAGTCATGGCAACAGCCGAGACCCCACCCCAAGGAGTCCTTGCACCCGATAGCGATGGGGTCGGGGTGGAGACGTGGGTCGCAGCGGAGCCCCGGGCGCCCTCCGAGGCCCACCCCGCCTGGAGGTCCTTGCCCGGCCTACTTCCCCAGCTCACCTTCCGCCAGCAGCTCCTCCACCGTGACCTGGAAGCGCCCCACGGCGAAGACCCTGCTGCTGCCCACGGCCGGCCCGCCTCCGGCCACAAAGCCCGACACGGCCGCCGACGTCCCTCCGCCGCCTCCACCTCCTCCGCCGCCGCTACTCGTGCTGCCTCCGGTGCCGTCAGACTTGGGCATGCGAGAAAACTTCTTCATGGCGGGCGAGGAGCTCGGGGAGGTAGACCCGAGGAGGAGCGGGGCGAGGGGAAGAAGAAGCCGCCGCCGCCGCCGCCGCCGCCCAAGGAGCCGCCCCTTCTTCCCTCAGGGGCTGGGATTCGCGCCAGTCAGTCAGCGCCCGGCCCCGCACTGGGGAGCCCCAGGCCGCCGCCGCCGCTACTGTGGGAACCTGCGCTTGACAAGCCCGGCTCCGCCGCGCCTCACATTCCGCGAAGGAAAGCGGCGTGTTATGTGTGTGAGGCGAGCCGAGTCTCGGCCACCCCCGCCTGCAGCGCCGTATCTCTCCTCTTCTCTCTCTCACACGCGCGCGCTCTCGCGCTTCTTCCCTCACAGAAAAAAAAAAAAGAGAGACGCTGTGAGGGACGGAGAGACCCCTCCCCCTCCCGCTCCAGAACGAGGCTGCAGGCGCGCGCGCGCACACACGCCGCCCTTTAACGTTTCGCGCACGGCTGAGGGGAAGGACGAGAGGGAAAACCCGAACTGGATTTCATGCCCCCCCCCCTTCGCCCTCTCGCGCTGCTGTCAAATACTTCCAACGTCTCCCTGCTTTCTTTTTTTTTAACCCCTTCGCGCAAGCCAGAGGAGTTGTTGTTGGTGTTGGGGGGGGGCGGGGGAAAGAATCATTGCCCTGAGGGAAGGGAGGGAAAGGCGAGCCTCGCCCCCCCAAAAGGAGGTCTGCGCACGCGCATGGCTGGCTCGTTACTTTTTTTTCCCCCTTCCTCTTCTTAACAAGTCCCCGCCCTCCTCGCAACGCCGCTCTGTGCTGCCGGAAGTGAGGTTGCCACGCCTGGGTAGCACGTGCTTGTGAGGGGTCGGATGGGGGAAGCTTCGAGGGGGAACCGCTTTGGTTTGGCTGGCGCCGCCCATCTCTGCTTCGGTGGGCGCGGGCGCTCACGTGCTGCTGTTGCTGCCGCCGGGTTGTTGTTTTTTCCTCTTGCGAGGCGAACGTTCGAAATCGTTGGATGGAGCCGTTGGAAAAGGACCGTTAGGCTAAAGGGGGGGCGGATGGGATTGGGGTGGAAGGACTATAATGGAGTTTCTGGGCTGCTGGTGTTGCTGATTTTCTTACTTTATTTATATTTATTTCTGTTCGCGTTATATTTTTAAGAAAAATCTCAAAGCCTCTTACAGCATATTAAATTAATAAAACATAAAATAATCTAAAGAAAGTCAAATACAGTCATACCTCGGGTTACAGATGCTCCAGGTTGCATTTTTTCAGGTTTCGGCAGTCGCATGTGTGCAGATGCGCCCAATCGCAACCCGTGCATGCGCAGACACGCAGCTGTGGGTTGCAAACACTGTGGGTTTTGAATGTGTGTCCTGCCCGGATCACATTCGCAACCCAAGCATCCACTGTATAGAGTATACAGTGGGCCCTTGGTTTACATTACCTGCAGGTAGCGTAACTTTCTGGTTGCGAAAGCTGCAAACCCGGAAGTGTATACTTCTGGGTTTCACCCTGCACACATGTGCAGAAGCACTCTTATCACGTTGCGCATGTGTGCAGAAGCGGCACCTCATGTTTCAGACTTTTTATGGTACATAAGGACCCCCAGAACGAATTAAGTTCATATCCGGAGGGTCCACTGTATGGTCAAAGCAACATAACACAAAACTGAAATATTATCTTAAAAGATTTCAAAATAAAACATTACAAAGGAGGTCAACTACAGAATACATATTTAACATTTATCTAGTTTTGAATACTGCATGGCAGCAGATTTCCCTGCATTTCTTCAAAATCGTACAAATAGATAATTTGCACTACTTACTGATGCAGAGAGTATGGACTTTACTCTTTAGTGTGCACCTGCTCTAAAAAGCAGTCTGCTCTCTGGCATCAAGCCAGAAATTAAAAATTGACAGTTGGATCTTAGTTGCATCCAGGAATATGTCAGTTTCCCCTAAAAAAATAAATAAATGCAGGTTTGCCTTTAGGAATACCTAATAGTTCTCATTTACTTTTTCTGAAAATATTTAAAAGCTGGTGTTCCATATGTCCCTCAAACTTTAAAAAAACAACAACCAAGAAACTTTGATTTTGATAAACTAAGAATGTACTGTACACCCTCAATTATTTGCCAGAGCTTTAGCAGCTGCCTTCAGTTTTCCATTTGGCAGCTCTGGAAATTCAAGGAACTAATGGCACTTTACCTACTCAGTTGCCTTGGAAATAAGATGCAGCATATGCAGGTTGGATTTACATCTAAATATCACCACCTCCCCCCCCCCAAAAAAAATCTGTAAGTACTTTTTGCAATGTATTCCCAGAGTTTGTAATAATCCTCTAAGACTGATCTGTGCAAAACACATGCATACACACAAAAGCAAAAGTCTATAGTGTTCCAAAATCTATTTCCTATTCCCAGGTACAAAGCGAAAAATGTTTAACTGCTGGTTTCAGAACAATATTAATAAAGAAGCTAAATAGTGGTTGAAGCAAGCCCTCTTTCAATTCCCCAGGTAACAAGTAGATTTAGAGAGCCTGAAAAGAAAGCCTAAGGTTTTTAAAGTTGTTTTTTTTAAGTACCACTATTAAGGGGGTTGTAATAAATATGGCAAAGCTTATATTTGACCAAAATATTGTGCCTAAACAAAATAAATCTTCTCCATACATCAACTAAAGCAGCAAAGGCTTCCTTAATGAAAATATTTATGCAGCTTGTGGTTGAGCACAGAACATTAATCCACTGGGGAGAAGCCTCTTCTAACCCCAGCCGCCTCATTAAAAATGCAATTTCTTATTGCCCAGTTCTCAAGTTCTCTCAATTACTTTGCATACAGTTTTACAGCTTTGTTAATCAAAATTATCAATCTGTAATTGGTAGGTAGCTTCCTATTGCCCACCCCTCTTTAAAAACAGGAACCGTAATACTCAAATCCTACCCAAGAGGAAAAAAAATAGCTGCCAAATCAGTATAATCTTAAACCTGGTTACATTTAAACAATATGTAAGTCGTGTATGTAAGGGGACGCGGGTGGCGCTGTGGGTAAAAGCCTCAGTGCCTAGGGCTTGCCGATCGAAAGGTTGGCGGTTTGAATCCCCGCGGCGGGGTGCGCTCCCGTCGTTCGGTCCCAGCGCCTGCCAACCTAGCAGTTCGAAAGCACCCCCAGGTGCAAGTAGATAAATAGGGACCGCTTACTAGCGGGAAGGTAAACGGCGTTTCCGTGTGCTGCGCTGGCTCGCCAGAGCAGCTTCGTCACGCTGGCCACGTGACCCGGAAGTGTCTTCGGACAGCGCTGGCTCCTGGCCTCTAGAGTGAGATGAGCGCACAACCCTAGAGTCTGTCAAGACTGGCCCTAACGGGCAGGGGTACCTTTACCTTTTTTAAGTCGTGTATGAGAGCTGGCCCCTTTATGGATCACTGCCTTGCCGTGGCGAAGGGGCTTGAAGAACTCAGAGAAGCTATGAACTACGCCGAGCAGGGCACACAAGATGAACAGGTCATAGTGGAGAGTTTCGACCAAACGTGATCCACCTGGAGGAGGAACCGGCAAGCCACTCCAGTATCTTTGCCAAGAAAACTCCATGGACAAAGACAACAGGCATATAAAAGTTATGACGCTGGAAGATGAGCCCCTCAGGTCGGAAGGCGTCCAACATGCTACTGGGGAAGAGCGGAGGGCAAGTACAAGTAGATCCAGAGCTGATGAAGCGGCTGGGCCAAAGCCGAAAGGACGCTCAGTTGCGGATATGCCTGGAAGCGAAAGGAAAGTCCAATGCTGTAAAGAAAAATATTGCATAGGAACCTGGAATGTAAGAACCATGAACCTGGGTAAGTTGGAGGTGGTCAAAAATGAGATGGCAAGAATAAATATTGACATCCTGGGCATCAGTGAACTAAAATGGACGGGAATGGGCGAATTCAGTTCGGATGACCATCACATCTACTACTGTGGGCAAGAAACCCGTAAAAGAAATGGAGTGGCCCTCATAGTCAACAAAAGTGGTGAAAGCTGTACTGGGATGCAATCTCAAAAATGATAGAATGATCTCGATACGAATCCAAGGCAGACCTTTTAACATCACAGTAATCCAAGTTTATGCACCAACTACTGGTGCTGAAGAAAATGGAATTGACCAATTCTATGAAGACTTACAACACCTTATAGAAGTGACACCAAAGAAGGATGTTCTTCTCATTATAGGGGATTGGAATGCTAAAGTAGGGAGGCAAGAGATAAAAGGAACAACTGGCAAGTTTGGCCTTGGAGATCAAAACGAAGCAGGGCAAAGGCTAATAGAGTTCTGTCAAGAGAACAAGCTGGTCATCACAAACACGCTTTTCCAACAACACAAGAGACGACTCTACACATGGACATCACCAGATGGGCAGCACCGAAATCAGATTGATTATATTCTCTGCAGCCAAAGATGGAGAAGCTCTATACAGTCAGCAAAAACAAGACCTGGAGCTGACTGTGGCTCAGATCATCAGCTTCTTATAGCAAAATTCAAGCTTAAACTGAAGAAAGTAGGAAAAACCACTGGGCCGGTAAGATACAATCTAAGTCAAATCCCTTATGAATACACAGTGGAAGTGAGGAACAGGTTTAAGGATTTAGATTTGGTGGACAGAGTGCCTGAAGAACTATGGATGGAGGCTCGTAACATTGTACAGGAGGCAGCAACGAAAACCATCCCAATGAAAAGGAAATGCAAGAAAGCAAAGTGGCTGTCCAACGAGGCCTTACAAATAGCGGAGGAGAGAAGACAAGCAAAATGCGAGGGAGATAGTGAAAGATACAGGAAATTGAATGCAGATTTCCAAAGAATAGCAAGGAGAGACAAGAAGGCCTTCTTAAACGAGCAATGCAAACAAATAGAGGAAAACAACAGAATGGGAAGAACCAGAGATCTGTTCAAGAAAATTGGAGATATGAAAGGAACATTTCGTACAAAGATTACCATAATAAAGGACAAAAGTGGTAAGGACCTAACAGAAGCAGAAGACATCAAGAAGAGGTGGCAAGAATACACAGAGGAATTATACCAGAAAGATATGGATGTCTCGTACACCCCAGGTAGTGTGGTTGCTGACCTTGAGCCAGACATCCTGGAGAGTGAAGTCAAATGGGCCTTAGAAAGCACTGCAAATAACAAGGCCAGTGGAAGTGATGGTATTCCAGCTGAACTATTTAAAATTTTAAAAGATGATGCTGTTAAGGTGCTACACTCAATATGCCAGCAAATTTGGAAAACTCAGCAGTGGCCAGAAGATTGGAGAAGATCAGTCTACATCCCAGTCCCAAAGAAGGGCAGTGCCAAAGAATGCTCCAACTACCGCACAATTGCACTCATGTCACACGCTAGCAAGGTTATGCTTAAAATTCTACAAGGAAGGCTCAAGCAGTATGTGGATCGAGAACTCCCAGAAGTGCAAGCTGGATTTAGAAGAGGCAGAGGAACCAGAGACCAAATTGCAAACATGCGGTGGATTATGGAGAAAGCTAGAGAGTTCCAGAAAGACATCTACTTCTGCTTCATTGACTATGCAAAAGCCTTTGACTGTGTCGACCACAGCAAACTATGGCAAGTTCTTAAAGAAATGGGAGTGCCTGATCACCTCATCTGTC